CGAAGGAAATGATGAGATGCATTCAAGATAAGGATAGAAACGAAGGGTACTTGGGAAGGTTGGCACGTTACTTGGAGGCGGAACGAAGGCAAGGTGGTTGACGCCGGGGAAAGAAATGTAAAATAATAAAGGCCAAAGCCCTATTTGCACCCTCCATTTATTTACTTTTCACGATCAACCACCTTCCGGAATTTTTTCTCCCTATTCACACCTTTCACTTTTCAAAACCCGTAAAAAACCTCACATTTTAACGCACCGTCACGGTACCGTTACAAAATGTACTACGTGGCACTCAAAAATTGACGTGGCCAATATATGTCGTTAGTAATTCAACGTGGATGTCTTTTTTGATGACGTGGTTTACTTAAATAAAAAAATAAAAAAATAAAAAAATTTGCTCAGGTTCCCGAACCCAAAGGAAGGAACCCGATCTGGGTTCCTCGTCGCAAGGAACCCAGAGTCGGGTTCCTCATGGGTTCCTCCCAAGGAACCCAGATCGGGTTCCTCCAGAGGAACCCAGCTCGAACCAGCTGGGTTCCTTGTGAGGAACCCAATCTAGGTTCCTCACGACGAGGAACCCAGAGTCGGTTCCTCCCAAGGAACCCAGCTCGAGTTCCTCATGAGTTCCTCCAGAGGAACCCAACTTGAACCCAATCTAGGTTCCTCACGACGAGGAACCCAGAGTCGGTTCCTCCCAAGGAACCCAGCTCTGGGTTCGGCGAGGAACCCAGAGCTCTTGTTCAAAAAAATTTTTTTTTTTTGGTGGGGGGACGCAGAAGTCCTGTGCAGTGGGTCCCACTGCACACGTGGCGTCCCCATGTGCAAAAAAAAAGCTACATCATCAAAAAGCAAATCCACATCTGAATTTAACGAATAAGGAAACGCCGCATGTGCCACGTCAATTTTTGAGTGCCACGTAGTGCATTTTTTAATGGTGCAGTGACGGTCCGTTAAAATGTTGGGGTTTTTACGGATTTTGAAAGGTGAAAGGTGTGAATAGGGAAAAAAAATTTTAGAAGGTGTTGACCG